TAATGTAATAGTGAGATATACAATCCAGATAGCATTACCAATAATGAAAGGATTATTAATATAGGGCTACATAATATAATTACTTAACTTGAAACAATTAGAATCATAGATCAATAGAATAATGCCAACCTGGAGTAAGAGTACTATATTCTCTATTGGATGCTGACTAACTCCAAAAGTTGAGATATAAGTACACAGATTTGGAATATTTCAAGTATATCTTGTGACAGAAAATTCATACCATGGTTGTTGGAGGAAGCCTGTATAAGATGATGGTGCTTGTGCTTCCATAGCACCCAAAGTATCACCATGATAAGATCATTTAAGAGCCAAGACCTGAAATAAACAACTCCTATGTCAACAGAATTGAAGAAAATCTGACCATAACTTCCAAAGTTACATCACTTTAGCAGATCGTTACAACAGACAAGGCAATGACTTGGCCTAACTGGGCAAAAAGTAGCCTACACAATCATAACTAGAGAAAAAGCAGCAGCTAGAAAAGTTAGCTTATCTAAAGCTGAGACCATAATTCTTACCCCATCCACCTCACATAAAACTATTCCAGTACTAGCTAAACATATACAAGTGAAACATTAAGCCACCAATGGAAAAATAATGGACCAACTGCAACATTAAGGCAAGAAACCAATCTGCAAGCTACAATTCCAGAATTAGGCAAAACCACAATAGATACAATTGGCCCCTCAGTTTCTGTTAATTATGTCTACAGAAGTCAACAAAATTTAGGACAGAAATTTGAATCATTTCAAATGAATAAAGAAACTGACAGTTCTTTAGTCAATTTATCAAATCAAACAGTTAGTTCTTGCAGTTGCATGATAAAAGAGTTTTTCAGCAGTTTAACTTTCCCAAGGCCTCACAGCTAGGAAACCGTATCTGCCTGCATTTAGATTTCAACAGAGTTTGGGGAGTTGCATCACAAACCACGTACCCCAAAAATCGATAATAGACTCTAGTTCAAATCTATAACAGAGTGTGCTTCAACGATGAGCACAATTATGAACCCATAATGAAGTCCAAAAGAATTCTTTGTTCCGTATCTAACAACTTATACAGTGAAGTCATAATCACACTCAATACACCAAACCAAACTACCACAGAAGGCTGATTCCAGAATATACGCTTGCAAACAAATTACACTCAATACACATCAAGATATGAAATAAAACCCAAACTGAACAACCATCAAAGACTGATTCTTTAAAAGGAACGTATTGTCATATAGATGATTTGGGAATCTTATAATGAAAGAAATTAGAAATGCAATGCCAGCATGTGTCTCTGTACTCAATAAAATATAATTGATCATCACTATTTCCAAACTCATAAAACATCCAAAGAAGTGGACAATTCTTTTCAAATCAAGAAACTCATCTAATTGCATAATCTTAAAACCAGGGCCACTTTCCAGGCCCTGCAACTCAACAACAAAACACTAAAGGTACAAACAAAAAACATATGAACTAGAATTTCTGAACAAAATAAAAGCAAAAAGGTTAAAAAAATGCAACCACTGAAGATTAAATCAAGTCAGATCCAACCACAAAAACATACATCAATAAGCACCGAAATTAAAGAACAAACAAATCGTAACCCTATATGTCAGACAAACAAATAAACAAGAAAAAATAAAAATTGAAATCAAGTCAGAAGAATCCTAAGCTAACCCTAGAAAAGTAGGTTCGTACCTTTCTGGTCTACGAGGAAGAAGATCTAATCTAAAGCTCTTAAAACGGAAGATGGGAATCCATTTGGGGGCTTAAAAATGGTCGAGATGAGGAAGGGTAACTGCCATGGGAAGCGTGAGGGAGATGGCGAACGCGGCTAGCTCGGTGGACTAAACGACACGATGGAGATAGCGATCTCGGCGAACTCGTTGTCCTAAACGGCGTGACAGAGATGGCGATCTCGGCTAGTTCGGTGGACGGCGAGAGGGAGATGTGCTTCATCGATGTGAGAGAGAGGGTTTTCTGCAAGGTTCATGAGAGAATTTGAGATATTACAGTGTTTTGAGCGAGCAAGGGTTTTCTGAAAAGCTCCGCGCTCGCGAACTTAAAAGTGAATTTTTGTTCAGCAACCTCCTAAAAAGACGACGGTTCTAATAAGGTATCGTCGTAATTTTAAAAATCAACCCAACACATCTATGTATTAGGTACCTTACCACGACGTTTTTATAACTTTCGTCGTCTTTTAAAATACCACGACAGTTTTTATATAAAGGGTCGTCTATTGGGTGTCGTAGTTTAACAAAATTGTAGTAGTGCACGGTGTAATTAAGATTCCTTGTATTGGTAGGTTTATTTGTAAAACACACTTGTGAATTCTATAAATTGCCTCCAGAGTGGAGAGAAATAATAATCTGAAAATTCCCCAAATATTGTTTGACTTCTTACCGTCTCTCTCTGTAGTCTCTCTAATCATAAATTAACACTAATCAAGACTAATTATGGAAGCTGCTCCTGCAGCCGAAGACAACAACCCTCGTCGGGTCGATTGGAAGAAGGTTGTACTCGAGGGCTATCCCATCTGCGTCTTGCTGAAACTTATTATTATTTGTTTGGTAGGAGGGTTCATCGCCTTCAGGGACCACAGAATCCATCTCGAAGCCCCCGCGTTCCGCCTCTACTCTGCCACCATGTCCCTTCCCAATGCGTCCGCCTCCGAATTCACTGCCACGTGGGACATGACCGTCGTCGCGTTCAACCCCAACCACAAGCTCAACATCTCCTTCAACAGCCTGCAGGCGACGGTCTCCTACGCAAAAGACCCCAGCGGGGGTGCAGCAGTCTTGCTCGCGACAAAGCCGGTGCCGCCGCCCTCCTTTCTAACCACAGGGGCCCAGACCACTAACTGTTTCAGAGTCGAAACGGTGTCGGCGAACATAGGTGATGATGTGGCCAGAAAAATCTCCGAAGGGAGAGCTCATGGAGGGGTGAGGTTTGAGATCGATATGTTGGGTCAGTATAGGTATGCCTCGTATGACAAAAGTCCCAGAATGTTTAAGGCTTGCTACCAGGTCGAGTTTGAGTTTTCCCCGGGTAATTCGACCGGGGCACTGACACGAACGCACCAGCCAATTGAATGCGAGCTTTAGGGGAGAAGTCATACTTATTATGCGTTATGGTTCAGAAAAAAAGTACAAAAGAAGCTTGTCATGTATGTAATGTGATTAATTTTAATTTTAATTTGATTTAACACTCATATATTTGGATACTTTTCGACAAATCTTTTGTGTTAAATCCCATAGCTAGCTGTGCTTATGATAAAAATAAAAAATAAAAAAGATGAAGAGGTGAGTCAAGTTGAGTTTTCTACAGTTTTTTATTGATGGTGAATAAACTAGTTGATAATCATGTTGTTTTCTTTCCAAACACATGTTTTAGATACAGATGAACTAAAAGTTTATAATTCCCATATCAGAATGTTATTCAGTGAATTTTCTTATGCATATTTTAATAGGGTTTTGCTTAATTTCTTATAACAATGACTTTAGTGTTGTGAACCAGTGAATGTTCCTATTTGCTGCTGTCAACGTGTGGTTCGTTTATTTTCAAATGTAAATCATATCAATTTGAGGGCCTATATGCATGTTAGTCACAATTCGAGGCCTATATGCATGTCATCTTGTCATCTTGTCATCTTGTCATATTCTGAAGGTTAACAATCAAATATATATAACAAGTGAAATGTTTTACTTTCATTTTGTCATCTTGCACTACTTTGAATGCAAAATCCAAAGAGCTGAACAAGGTTTGTGTACGTTGGAGTTCATATATGAGTATCAATTCATTCTTAAACTCCAACGTTCCTTGCTCTGAACATTTTGACAACCTCTTCACAGCTATTTCTCGTCCGATCGCCAGTTTTCCCTGCATTAATTATAAATCCATCATATATCCCCTTTTTTTAAAAAAAATAAGGCAATCGATTATTATGTTAGTGAACAGTTGTCGCAAAAAGGAAAAAAGAACACTATAATATTTCTCAGCTATATCGATCCAGATCATCAAACAACTCTCTAATTTTGTATATATGCTCAGGTGATTGAAAATGTGACAATTTGAGGCCTATTTCTTATATCACTACTAGAAAATCTCATTATAAGTCACAGACAATTCGAGGCCTATACGGATGTTAGTCATTGACAATCTATAGACAAAGAGTGTTGGCCACGGATTGGCCACAAAACACTGAATTGTGCTAGTTGCTGGCGTTACCATTAAATTTTCGCCACACCAACGGGTGTCCGTGGCCTAAACCCTAAAGAGCAGGCCCAACCACATTATCCGCTCTTCTTGCAGCTCATTAATAATATAAAACAAATATATATTTTTTATAATTATACATGGGCACATGAGTGTCTGATTGAGCCCTAGCTCCGCTAACAGATATAGAGGAGCAAATTGTGGTTACAAAAGTTTCAATTTTGGTCACTAAATATTACCGCTGAGAATTTGCAGCCTATTTTTGTTGTAGTGTTTCTATCCAAACTCATCACAATAATTATACATGGGCACATGAGTGTCTGATTGAGCCCTAGCTCTGCTAACAGATATAGAGGAGCAAATTGTGGTTACAAAGGTTTCAATTTTGGTCACTAAATATTACCGCTGAGAATTTGCAGCCTATTTTTGTTGTAGTGTTTCTATCCAAACTCATCACACAGAGCCCTCATCGAGAAAGAAAGAAAGAAAATAGTTACTCCCCCTAGTTCGATTTGTCGATCGATGATTGAAAGTGAGATTTAGATTCCATCATGGACGAAACTTCTTGTGTTAGATTCAATTATGAATTGGATCTCATGGGTGCGGACAAAATCGAAATCGGAGTGACCATCGCTTCTTTTTCCTCCGTTTTTTTATAAATTTTTTATAAATATATATATATTTTTTAAACATATTTTAAATCTCAATCTTCCAAGTTCATCCAAAAATAGGGGAATTGTGCATGAGCCGTCAACATTTTAGAGGCCTGAACTAAAAAATAAAAAACTGAGGAGGACTTCTCGCCTTATGCTCGCATGCAATTGACTGACCCGCTCGTGTCAGTTCCCCTGTCCAATTACCGGGGGAAAACCCAAACTCGACCTGGTAGCAATCCTCAAACTTTCTGGGACTTGTGTTACACGAGGTATACCTATACCAACCCAACATCTTGAGCCCAAACGTCACCCCTCCACGAGCTCTCCCTTCTGAGATTTCTCTGGCCACTTCATCACCTACGTACGCCGACACTGTTTCGACTCTGAAACGGTGAGTGGTCTGGGCCTTTGCGGTCAGAAACGAGGGCGGGGGCACCGGCTTTGTCGCGAGCAAGACTGCGTCCGCGAAGGGGTCTGTTACGTAGAAGATCGTGGCCTGCAGGCTGTCGTAGGAGATGTTGACCTTGTGATTGGGATTGAACGCGACGACCGTCACGTCCCACGTGGCGGTGAATTCGGAGGCAGATGCATTGGGAAGGGACATGGTGGCGGAGTGGAGGCGGAACTCGGGGGAATTCATTCCGAGCTCGCTGACGGCGTTGCTGATTAACACGATCATACTTATTATCCATAAGCAGAAGATGATGGGTAATAATATGAACTCGTGGCAACGGAGCCGATGAGGGTTGTTGTGTTCGGCGGCAGAAGCAGCTGTCATAATTAGTCTTGGTTAATGTTTATTTATGATTAGAGAGACTAGAGAGAGAAACAGTAAGACTATATAGAGAATTTTGGTTTGAACTCGATAAGAAGTTTACTATTGTGGTAGATAAGAACTCAATTTCAGTTAACCTAGACAAGGTGAATGACTAAAAGATAATATTTAATTTTACAATAATATAATTAAAAAATCTCATAATTACACATATTCATTCCATACAAATTCATTTAAAATCAATCACTTTTATATCACTAGTTTTGTTCCAACAACAACAGCATCAAGTTTCGAATAATGATTCTACTAAAACGGATAGTTATCCACATAATGCTGAAGAGCTTCACATGTTTGTTTGGAGTTCCAGTTCTTCCCCTGTTTTGGAAGGCAGTGGGATCCATGTATTTCGAGCTCCAACATTTATATGTTGGTTTCTGATAACCGCCAAAATGGAGAAAACAAAGGCAACGTTCTGACTTATTTTTTCTTTGAAAAAGGCATTAATTCAAAATATAATTAATATTTCCATATTTCTATAATTTAATTTATTTTTTGTTGTTGATAATGAATGTAACGTCATGAGAGTGCAAAAACAGAATCTGCAACAAAAAAACAAGAAGTGTTTAATTGAAAGGAAAAGAAAGGAAAAAATAAAAAATAAAATGGTCATGCTGCAACTACTACTCTCTAACAAAATTACAAGCTTAAAAGTAAAAACAAAAACAAAAGAGTTTAATCAATGAGGTAAACAAAAACAGAAAATGCAACAAACAAGCAAAAATTGGTGAGACCCATGCTTACCATGCAAGCAATTAATAGAAATTTTGATATTGAAGTTAACGCCGAAACCATATTGCAAAATATTGAAAAGCTTAGGGTATGTAATCTTTAAAATTAAAACTGTAGGGGTAAACATGCCTAGGATACTACTTGTCTCCTTACATGTAAGGAGATACTCCTCCTTCATATGAATCAAAGTTTGACACATGCAAAAATAAATCATCACAAATACAAAAAGAAGAACTTCTGCACACATGTCACACTGCTATTGGCAGGAATGTAGGAGTTCTTTTATAATATTAGGGTTGAGTTTATTTTTTTTTTCTTTTTATAAGCAATAGTCTAAGCTACAAGGGTGGGGGTTTCTTACACACACCAAAACCAAGATGTCATATGGGTTCGAACTTGAGACCTCGAGTATGTAGATCAAGACCCTTTTCCAATAGGCTAGACCCCGTTAGGGATGGCAATTTTCCCCACGGGTAAGGGTCTTTGTAAAACCAGGCCCTAGGCTCTAAAAGCCTACAGAGGGGGGGTGAAGTAGGCTATAGGTCAAAGACCTACCAAATTAAATTTTAAGCCCAGCTAAGAATAAAATGCGGAAGCTGGATTAATACAGACAACACCACGTATTAATCCAAACAGAAACTCTTGTGAATTTGGATCAATACAGTGCAATGTCGTATTAATCCATGTTAGTGTACTGATGTGATTTGAACAATATGCAGCAAGTACAACAATGGCAACATGAATATAAACATACACAAAGAGTTGTTGACCCAGAAACCCAACAAGGGGAAAAACTGGAGGCACCAAGCCAGGAGAGATCCAATATGCTCATTAAGAAATACAAGGAAAAGAAGGAAGACTTAGCTCAATCTATCACCTATAGGCAGCTTCAATCACCCTTACAGCAAGCACCAATTCCTTTATCTCTTAGCAGCACATCCTCTCAAGAGCACCAAGCTCAAGTTGCATATGTATGAAGTGAGTTATGGTTTCACATATTCATCTATCTCAATCACAAAGTATGATTGAGCTAGACAAATGAAACCTAAGTGTTGTGATGATTAAACTAGAAGTAATGAACTAGAAGCAAATAGTTTAAATCAACATAACAATAATGAAACAATAAACTCAGCCGAAATCAATGTGAATGTACTTGGAGGAAATTAATGTGTATGCAATCATACTCATACTCTCAAGTAATTAACAATGGCTGAGACAATAAAATAGTTTTTGAATGCTCAATAGCAAATATAAAATGTTTCAAAAACATAGAACCGGTTCTGCATCAAAGATGCAGATTTTCTGTTTTCACATGACTAGCATGAGTGGTTCTTGAGGAACTTAGAAATGGTTTTTCAAGGATAAGAAATGAGAAGCAAAAACCGTTTCAAACACAAGTCCTCCCCTCTCCAGACAAAAGAGATAGAATATATAGAGAGCTTTTGAAAACCCTTCAAGGCTGATCGGTTCATAATTGTATATTATTTCTTACCCTTCTAGCTTATGATTTGGTTATGTTTTTGAGTTAAACTTGTGCTTTTAATCCTTTTTGTGTTTATCTTTCAGTTAATTGAGCTTTAGGTAACAATGATGGCTTTGGAGAACATAATTCATGCAATTCAAGCATGTTAAGGCCTAATTTGGATGAATTGATGAAGAGCTTAAAGACAAATTCATTATGGCTACAGCCCCCTGCCAGTCCAGTTCCGTAGGTCATATTGCAAGCTTTGTTTCAGCAACCTACATAGCTCGGATGAGGCCATATTCTTCATGAAATTTGCTCCAATTGAGCTCTCCCTTCTGAGATTTCTCTGGCCACTTCATCACCTACGTACGCCGACACTGTTTCGACTCTGAAACGGTGAGTGGTCTGGGCCTTTGCGGTCAGAAACGAGGGCGGGGGCACCGGCTTTGTCGCGAGCAAGACTGCGTCCGCGAAGGGGTCTGTTACGTAGAAGATCGTGGCCTGCAGGCTGTCGTAGGAGATGTTGACCTTGTGATTGGGATTGAACGCGACGACCGTCACGTCCCACGTGGCGGTGAATTCGGAGGCAGATGCATTGGGAAGGGACATGGTGGCGGAGTGGAGGCGGAACTCGGGGGAATTCATTCCGAGCTCGCTGACGGCGTTGCTGATTAACACGATCATACTTATTATCCATAAGCAGAAGATGATGGGTAATAATATGAACTCGTGGCAACGGAGCCGATGAGGGTTGTTGTGTTCGGCGGCAGAAGCAGCTGTCATAATTAGTCTTGGTTAATGTTTATTTATGATTAGAGAGACTAGAGAGAGAAACAGTAAGACTATATAGAGAATTTTGGTTTGAACTCGATAAGAAGTTTACTATTGTGGTAGATAAGAACTCAATTTCAGTTAACCTAGACAAGGTGAATGACTAAAAGATAATATTTAATTTTACAATAATATAATTAAAAAATCTCATAATTACACATATTCATTCCATACAAATTCATTTAAAATCAATCACTTTTATATCACTAGTTTTGTTCCAACAACAACAGCATCAAGTTTCGAATAATGATTCTACTAAAACGGATAGTTATCCACATAATGCTGAAGAGCTTCACATGTTTGTTTGGAGTTCCAGTTCTTCCCCTGTTTTGGAAGGCAGTGGGATCCATGTATTTCGAGCTCCAACATTTATATGTTGGTTTCTGATAACCGCCAAAATGGAGAAAACAAAGGCAACGTTCTGACTTATTTTTTCTTTGAAAAAGGCATTAATTCAAAATATAATTAATATTTCCATATTTCTATAATTTAATTTATTTTTTGTTGTTGATAATGAATGTAACGTCATGAGAGTGCAAAAACAGAATCTGCAACAAAAAAACAAGAAGTGTTTAATTGAAAGGAAAAGAAAGGAAAAAATAAAAAATAAAATGGTCATGCTGCAACTACTACTCTCTAACAAAATTACAAGCTTAAAAGTAAAAACAAAAACAAAAGAGTTTAATCAATGAGGTAAACAAAAACAGAAAATGCAACAAACAAGCAAAAATTGGTGAGACCCATGCTTACCATGCAAGCAATTAATAGAAATTTTGATATTGAAGTTAACGCCGAAACCATATTGCAAAATATTGAAAAGCTTAGGGTATGTAATCTTTAAAATTAAAACTGTAGGGGTAAACATGCCTAGGATACTACTTGTCTCCTTACATGTAAGGAGATACTCCTCCTTCATATGAATCAAAGTTTGACACATGCAAAAATAAATCATCACAAATACAAAAAGAAGAACTTCTGCACACATGTCACACTGCTATTGGCAGGAATGTAGGAGTTCTTTTATAATATTAGGGTTGAGTTTATTTTTTTTTTCTTTTTATAAGCAATAGTCTAAGCTACAAGGGTGGGGGTTTCTTACACACACCAAAACCAAGATGTCATATGGGTTCGAACTTGAGACCTCGAGTATGTAGATCAAGACCCTTTTCCAATAGGCTAGACCCCGTTAGGGATGGCAATTTTCCCCACGGGTAAGGGTCTTTGTAAAACCAGGCCCTAGGCTCTAAAAGCCTACAGAGGGGGGGTGAAGTAGGCTATAGGTCAAAGACCTACCAAATTAAATTTTAAGCCCAGCTAAGAATAAAATGCGGAAGCTGGATTAATACAGACAACACCACGTATTAATCCAAACAGAAACTCTTGTGAATTTGGATCAATACAGTGCAATGTCGTATTAATCCATGTTAGTGTACTGATGTGATTTGAACAATATGCAGCAAGTACAACAATGGCAACATGAATATAAACATACACAAAGAGTTGTTGACCCAGAAACCCAACAAGGGGAAAAACTGGAGGCACCAAGCCAGGAGAGATCCAATATGCTCATTAAGAAATACAAGGAAAAGAAGGAAGACTTAGCTCAATCTATCACCTATAGGCAGCTTCAATCACCCTTACAGCAAGCACCAATTCCTTTATCTCTTAGCAGCACATCCTCTCAAGAGCACCAAGCTCAAGTTGCATATGTATGAAGTGAGTTATGGTTTCACATATTCATCTATCTCAATCACAAAGTATGATTGAGCTAGACAAATGAAACCTAAGTGTTGTGATGATTAAACTAGAAGTAATGAACTAGAAGCAAATAGTTTAAATCAACATAACAATAATGAAACAATAAACTCAGCCGAAATCAATGTGAATGTACTTGGAGGAAATTAATGTGTATGCAATCATACTCATACTCTCAAGTAATTAACAATGGCTGAGACAATAAAATAGTTTTTGAATGCTCAATAGCAAATATAAAATGTTTCAAAAACATAGAACCGGTTCTGCATCAAGATGCAGAAAATATGTTTTTACATGACTAGCATGAATGGTTCTTGAGGAACTTAGAAACGGTTTCTCAAAGGATAAGAGAAGAGATGCAATCCGTTTCAAACATAAGTCCTGCCCTCTCCAGCTGATAGGTATAGAATATATATAGAGAAGTCAATAAACACACTTGTTTGTTTAAAGCCATAGACAAAAGAACTTAACAAGTTAACGGCTCCAAAAAACCAAAACAATATAAGGATTGTTTTATACCTTTTGGAGAACATGTAGGCAGACAGGGTATGGAGAGGAATAAAGAAAACATGGGAGTGTTTGAGCAAAGAGCCGTTGGATTCTTCAAGAAATAAGCATGGGAAAGAAATGTAATAATCATCCCATGCTTTTGTTAGAAACACATGCACATGGACTCTTCAACACAATGATATAAAAAGCATGGGTGTGTTTCTTTAAAACCAAGAGGAGCCGCACAAGGTAATTGAACAAAGAGAAGAATCAATATAACAACATCCCATCACTTTAAAAAGGTGGAGACAAGAAAACATTTTGTAAGGAGCAAGAGTAAGGGTTAATTAAACAAACAAAAGACATGCTCCCTACAATATATTATGTTATAATATATTATGTCTCCACACACAAATTAACCAAACTCCACACACACACCCGTTGGGCTAAGGAGGAAACCTTCAACAAGGAA